TTGTTGCTCAAATTGTCCCATCTTTGACTTTTGGGAGTTCTTTCAGATTGGTTCCTGTGTCCCTGTGACTTTTGTTCTTGCCTGTCTTCCTTCCTTCCTTCCCTCCTTCCCTTTCCTTTCCCTCCCTCCCTCCCTCCTTCCTTCCCTTCCTTGCTTTCTCTTTCCTTCCTTTCTCTCTCCTTCCTTCCTTCCTTCTTTCCTTGCTTCCTTTTCTTACTTTGTTTTTCTTTCTTAGCACTTTTTTTTTTTTTACTTTCTGGCACTACAAGATGCCCTGGTTCATCTTGTATATTTCCTTCCCCCAGACCTAGAATCAACCATTTCTAAATGAAGCCCTGGTTCCTTTTATTATGGACTGTTATTTAGAAACCAAGCTCTGGGTGCTGAGTGTGCTTGTGTCCCATCTACTTTTCATTCTTTCTCTTTAAAATTTTATTTTTCAATTACAGTAGACATTTAATATTATTATATTAGTTTCAGGGGTACATGTGGTTAGAAAATTATATATTATAATTTACAATGTGATCCCTATTTTTCATTCTCTTATTTCTTCATCTCCATCTGCTCCTTCTCTACAGACTCTGTAGCTACCGGCATACAAACATGTTCAAGGGCTTCCCCATCAACCCTTCATCCATGTCCCCCACTGACAAGCTCCCTAACTCTCTTTTTATTTCCATTCAAGATCTTAGCATGGTCTCATTTTATATGAATTTTAAAGTGCTACAGAAGAGATTAGTAACATCTCAAGGAATGTGAAAAATATGAAATAAATGCAAATATTAAAAATCATCAGGCAAAGCACAACTTCAAACCTGGTGGGTTGAGGGCATTGCACCACTACAGCTGGCGAATCAAACAGAAATAGCTCACACTGAGCACTTAAAATGGGCCACTCTTCTAAGCACACCTCATAAGGGCCTATGACGTGGACATTCAATATTATCCCTGTTCTACAGATGAAGAGACCAAGTGACTTGTTCAAGGTTATAGAGCCAGGAAGTGAAGGACGAGTAATGTAAGTCTGGTGAATTTTTTTCACCGCTGTCCCTCAGCACCATGCATTGGCTGCCCTTCGTCACTAGTGTGAGAACTATTCCATTGTTCATTTGTTTTAGAACTTTGGAGAGTAATTTTAGTGGCTGGATTAGTTTCCTATTGCTGCTAAACAAGTTATCACAAATTTAGTGGCTTAAAGCAGCAAATTTATCCTCTTATAATCTGGAGGTCAGAAGTTCAAAGTCAGTTTCACTGGGCTACAGTCAAGCTGTCAGCAGGCTTGGCCCCTTGTAAGGCTTTGAGGGGAGAATGTTTCCTTGTGTTTTTCACCTTCTAGTGGTTACCAGTGTTCCTTAGCTTCCTCCTTCTTCAAAGTATCACTCAGATCTTTACTTCTGTCATCACATTGCCTTCTTCCCTGACTTCTCCTGTGTCTCCCTTAAAGGACGCGGCATTTATGTTGCCCTCCTCCAATCTGGGTCATCTCTCCATGTCAAGATCTTTAATTTAATTGCAACTGCTATATCCCTTTGGCCATTCAAGGTGGCCCTCGCAGGTCCTGGATATATTGGAGGAGCAGAAACAGTGACTGTTGTTGTTGGTTTGTTTTTAATTCACTGATACTATAGTGTAATAATTCTCCCTTTCTATCCTAAAAATGCCATCCAAGCATTTGTTAAATGATATTAGAAGACTAGAGGGGGGAAAAAAACACATCCAAATCAATAACGTTGGGATGCAAGTTAGATATAAGAAGATAATGGGTAAGGCTGCTTATTTAAAAATACATAAATCTTTTAAGGAAAAAAATCACCATAAAATGTAAAAAAAATGGGGATCATGTTGGTGTTCTGGGGGAAGGCTCAGTGCAGCCATGGTGTGCCCTTAAACTGTGAATTTTTTAAGGTCCTTGTATAAAATGGAACCACCTGGTCCTTTAAAATGAATCCTCTTTTCAACCCCTCCCCGACTTTACTAAAATTGCTCTTGCTGAGATCATCAATGGCCTCACAACAGACAAATCCAATGACACTTTTCTGTCTTATTTGATCTCTCTGTGACACTTTGTACTAATGACCACTCTCATTCTTGAAATTTTTCATGCCATAGCTTTAGTGTCACTCTTCTGTTGTTGTTTTTTTTTGCCTCTATTTGTGGCTTAGTTTCTTTCATGGCTTTTTTCCTCCACCCATCTTTCAAATGTTGATGTTCCCACAGGATGTTAGAAATCCTCCTCACTCTACCTTCTCATTCATTCACTCTATCAGCAGTCAAGGCTTTGCTCCTGATTCATACAGCTAATAGCCACCTGGGCAACTTCACTTTGATATCCCACGCACAGGCACATTTTGAACACTGTGGCTGTTTCACTCAAAGGTTTTGCATAAAGGTATGTTAAATGAGCTAATACTGCTGAATTTTCATCAAGAAATTCTCTTAAGCAGCTCGCATTTAGGCCCATTTAATTCTTGGATCAGTTAACTTAGGTACTACCTTTTCATTTTATTGTAATTATTCTCATTGGGATCCAGTCTTTTTATACATTTATGATAATTAGTCGATTATCGCAATTAGAGATTAATTAGTCAATTTTTGGGTCATTTCAAATGTTTTCAATGGTATCTTTTGCTACTGAGTTCTGCTAAATTCAAATTTCCTAAGCCAAAATTTTGACTTAAGTTTTGTCCAGATTTCATTATTCATTTTTAATCATGTGAAGGTTTTGCTGTTCTGAATTTTACTTGAATATTACTACTGCTAATATTTATTATAAACTGACTGAATAAAGGCTGGCAGGTATTATTTAATTTTTGGTTAGTCTATGAGAAAACTGATCAGTTCCCCTCAGATAATGTAAGATTTCTCTAAAGAGTGAAAAAACAAAGTAGGCCTGTGGGATCAATGGCCCCGCTCAGCACACCCTTTCTCTTGAGCAAGCCCACCCCACTCCCCACGCGGGCCCACTCTCTCCCCCAGAGCGCGCCCTGCTGCTTCTTCCCGCAGGTGTGTTTTCTTTGCCTTTCTTTCTCCTAAGCTCCAAGGGCTCTTCTGTTGCTCTATAGCTTTTACCTGAGCCCACACAGCCCAGCTGGCTTACTTCTTCCATGGCTCACTTCTTCTACTTTCGTTTGTATTTGAAGAAGAAGGAAAACAAAAAGGTCCTGCTCAAGAATAGGATAAGTGAGACTTGGGAGATCTTGTAGAACTAATACTTTTACCATATCTGACTTTGGGAATTCCGTACCTAGTGATCTTGGTGCCAAAACCTCAGCACTGAAGAACTGGGCTGCCTTTTGAAAGGAATACTCGGATTTCTTTTGGGCCTCTGGGTTACGCTTACATACAAGCAGGCTGAGGAATTACTTGGTCTGCTCCCAGGTATGCTGACACGCTAACTTAAGCCCTGCAGATCTCACCACCCCAATAAAGGGCAAGATAAACTCAAGGAAAAATAGGTAAGAAAGAAATGGAAAAAGCCTTTTTCTCTAAATTCAGAGAAATAGATCGAAACTTTCGGCTCATGATGTAACCTGGCAGCCAGAGAGTGGACTGGAATGTGCATGCATGTACAATGACAACTTCACTATACTTAGTGGGGGCAGTAGACGCTGTTGAGTCAGCGGGGGTACTGTGTGGCCGTCACATTCAAAATGACTGAGCAAGCAGAGTAACAAATCTGCATCGAATTTTGGGTTAAGCTTGAACATTCCTTCACGGAAACTATTTGGATGATTCAGAAGGCCGCAGCCATAGGCAACTGGTGATGGCCGCTTCATCACAACATGCCCACTCATGAGCATCGTGTCTCATGCAGAGTTTTTTGGCAAAACAGCAAATCATCCAGGTAACTTAGCCCACTACAGCCCGGATTTGGCACCCTGCGACTTCTGCCTTTTCCCAAAACTAAAATCGCCTTTGAAAAGGAAGAGATTTCAGACCATCAGTGAGATTCAGGAATATAGGACAGGGCAGCTCATGGCAATTGGGAGAACTGTAGTGAGGTCCCAAGGTGCTATTTTGAAGGGGACTGAGGTGTCATTGTCCTATGTACAATGTTCCTTGTGTTTTCTTCAATAAATGTCTCTATTTTTCATATTACATGGTTGGACACCTTCTGGCCAGACTGTGTACATCAATATACATATTCCTCACCTGTGGATATGTTTATTGATTTTGGAGAGAGAGGAAGGGAGAAAGAATATCGATGTGAGAGAGAAACATTGATAGATCAGTTGCCTTTCGTAAGTGCCCCGGCCAGGGATCAAACCTGCGGCCTAGGTATCAGCCCTGACTGGGAACTGAACTTACAGCCTTTTGGTGTATGGGATGATGCTCCAACCAACTGAGCCACCTGGCCAGAGCTATAGAACTATATTTAAAGATAGATGAATCAAATCTTAAATAAATCTTCAGAAAAAGTAAAAAGTAGTGGTTTTACTCTTGCATATTATGTCAGAACTTTTTGGATCCCTGATCTTCTTTGAATGTCGTCTCTGTGAACTCAGCCTGTCACCAGTTCTCCCTGGATCATCTACGTCAAGCTCATTAAAGTTCAAATATTACTGGTATTTTCTCAAATTTGGATAGGAAATAGCCAGGCAGATTCTTTCCCACAGCGGGGATTTTTTAAATTCTTAGGTATAATCCATTTCCGCCCAAGACTTCTGTCTTTAGTTCTTTATGTTAATATCTCTCTTCAGATTAATGCAACTCACATTCAGATTACAGACATATTAGAAGCTCACAGTGAAGTTCACACAGTAGAGGTCTCTGTGGTTTTTCTCAGCTGTCTTTATGGCTCAGTTATCTTGTATTATTTCATTTATGTTTCTACATAACATTTAGAATGGAAAGTAGGTCTCAGGAAATAACAATAACAGCACTGGAAAGCAAGAAAGGAAGCAAGCAACCAACCAAAAGTAGTCTGAAATTTAAAAATGTAAAACTAGGCTTGGTACTAAAGTGAAATGTGCTTATGGAGCTCTTCAGTCCTAAGAAGGTCTGACATAAGAAACAATACAAAGTATAAATCATTTAATTATGTCCATTTTAATAAAGTATATAGGAGTTTACAACTCAAATAATTATTCATAAAACTGTCAGATACATAAGATAGATCACACAAGGATTTCAATAACATAAATCCAAATAGTCTGCAAATAAGAGGTATTGCAAAAACTGTTAAGATTGACTTTATAATTGTCTTTTCCCCTTCCTTTCCCATGTTCACAGCCATTGAGATTGCATGCATATACTGTTTTCTGAGGAGTGATGGCCTCAATAGTCCTTAGAGCTGAGTCAACCTGCTCATTCAGTCAACTCAAAACACAGTTAAGGGAGTTCACTTCTTCTGCATGGAATGAGCATGGCCCGTGGCCTGTATTTGGTTTCCAGCACCTAAAAAATGACTTCATTCCCTCTTGCAAAATAACATCTTGCAAGCCTTGTGGTCTTCTTGTCACTGTGTCCCTTCCAACACTACACATGAGCCAAGAATTCAGGACATACCCTACTGAGTTTCATTCTCATGGATGGGAAGAACATACTTACTGTGGAAATGAGGCTCAGGCGATGGCTGATTTTTCCCACCTTTATCTAGGACAACTTTAGTTCTTAGAGAGCCGTTGGCAAAGGGAAGCAAATTTACTCATGCCAAGTATGGACTGTCATCTCTTGATATTCTTTGGATGCCTTTATTAGGAGGTCTTAACACCATAGCAGAAAGCATAGGATACACACATGCACACTTGTGCACACACACACACACACACACCCCATTCACACTCCTCAAACAGGAGTCTTTGGTAGACTCAGAATACAACTGACTTGCCATTTCAAAGTGAAAAGCTACATCATTTTTCACTCTCGAAGTGTCACTTTAGCTGATATTGATAAACACCATTTCTGCAATTCCTTGCCCAAAGGAATCAAACAGATCCTTTTAACTTACATATATAGTTGTGTTACAATGCAATGCAGACAACATTGACTTGATTTCAAGAACAAAACATTGTTACTATAAACCCAACAGTGTCACACATATTGAGATTGCTGGGAAGTAGCTCAAGACTAAATTACTTGTGTAATTACAAGTTATGGGGATACTGGGCCGAGCCACCAGTGTGGTTAACATTTAGCCATTTTTATAAGCTATGCTAGAGTACCTTCACACATTAAACTTGCCCCTGCATCCTAGGGCACTCTGGGCTGTTTCCACAGAGTAAGGATGGGATTCTGACAACGTTCCTTCACCCTTTATTCCAGTCTGTAAGAAATGGGGAAGGTGAGCCATTTCATTCTTATTTTGAATTATTCCAGTGTGGTGAGATTATCACAAGCTAAGCTGAAATTTAAGAAGAAACTTTTTATAGTAGAAAGGGAGGCAAATAAAAAGCAACACAATCATTCAATCATACCTCTTATCAACTTATTGGTATGGTCATAATAGGGGAATGTCATGTGAGGAAATGAAGTGGGAACAGAAATAAGGAAGATGAGCTAGGAAGACTTGCAGGGGTAATGAAAGAGCAGGAAAGAGCTATGTCTGGCAGCGTTTTAATGACAGGATCTTGGGTATCGCAAGTGGGGGGCCTGTTTCCTAATAAAAGTCAAGGTGCAAATGAGGCAGGTAAGACCAGGAAGTCAGAGCAAGATGGCATTCTGGGAATCAAGACACAGCCAGTGTAAATTCCCACATCTAAACTGAGCCAGCTTGTTTTTCTCAGCAACCTAGCAAATTTATTTTGTAGCAAAAAACACATGAACAATTCCCAACCAGACACTATTTTTTATTTTCAAGCATTTCGAAATTCTTCCTTAAGTGAACTTCAGAAGTCACAAGTTTGCAAGTGTCCTGTTGGCTAAACACAAAAAGGAACAAAAAAACAAACTACAAGTAGCAGTTGACAAAGGCATTGAAAAAACTAAGATTTTATATTACATGATTTCCTTTAAAATCTTATTTACTCCATCAGGCAGGATTGGAGGATCAGAACTCGGGGTGACCGTGGCGTTTACAAGGTGCTCCTGCCTCCTTAGAAGCTGTGGTGGACCTTTCAGCAGCTCTCCCATGTCCCTTAAATCAAAATAATCTGGGTTCCATATTTTTCAGAACATTTTTCAGTTTTTTCAAAAACTGCATCTGTGCAGACAGCAGCCATTCCACAGTTGATTGGCATATGTTCTCCAAGTTCAATTCCAAAGACACAGAAAAACATTAAAGGGATCTAAGTGACTCCATTTTAAATTGTATCTTCCCTGTTAGAGAGTTTGATCCCACCCTTCTCTAGTTTCCTATATGATAAAGTTTCCTATTTGATATAATTCATACATATTATAGAATCTAGGTGACTTTTCTTTATGGAATGAAATAGCATGATTGAATTTCTATTGTCAGGTCACTCTGGTAATTACACTTAAATAAACTGAAATCAGTGAAATGTCTGTTGAACATCATATATACACGCTGAAAACACTCATATACATGTATTCTAAAACTTAAATAAGGTCAGTAAGATACTGGTATTTTTCCCCAAAGTTTAGAAGGAAGTATCTTGGTTGCCAAATTAAACTCACATTACGGGCAAGATAAACACACACTCATTAACCTACACATCTGAATATTTCAACTCAACAATGAGCGGGCCCAAAGTGAAATAGGATTTATGACCTAGATTTCCTTAGGTCCTGGCAAGCATCTGCTTTAGCAACAAATCTTATTCATTCCATTTCCCAGTCTAACAAGGATTTGGAAGGGCTCTATGTGAGCCCCAAAAATAGATATGTTAAATATTTTTCACCACATGTAAGATAATTCATTATTTCAATATTGCCTGTTAGTCAATTAATGTAAATTCTTTAAGAGTTCATCCGTGCATGCTGTGGTTCAATGTTTTATTCTCAATGTATTCTGGCTCACTGCACTCCACTGAAATGCAAGTTAACACGTGCCTGCATTCCCTAGCAGATGTGTAAAGTAACACATGAAACAAATTAAAACAAGAAGTGTAGTATTTTGTTGACTATGTATTTTTTTCTATTTAATGTTAACCTATGGCAGTGTAGTTGTTGGAAACATGCATTACTGCTAAATCAATTCAAAGCACCTGCGCACTCCTAATTCCCTTAAAACGAAATTTTCCAAATTTCCAGATTCAGATTCTTGGCCTCTGGCAAGAACATTTTATCTTTCAATGATGCATTTACCCTACATGATCCAAAGATCATTGCTGATTTCACTAGTTATTAGCTAATAATGTCATCCCATAGTCAAAACATTTTCATGTATCATTAAGAATACAACAGTAATTTGTGTTTACATTCATTTCCTAATCAAAGAAGTTATTTAGAGTCTCCAACCATCATAGGCCTCCATGAGACTAAAAACAGGTTACGAGTCCATGCTTGACAAATGATTCAACTACATAACAAAAATCACCATCATTTTATTGATTTTATCTTGAAAACTAAAATAGCTACTTAATTTGGGGGATGCGATCAAATAACCAAAGGAAAAACATTTTGCAGGGTTGTTATAGAGGTAATCCTGAATACTTGGAAGAATGAATCAGGGCCTTCTTTTTAAGAGTTTCTGATTTGGGGTGAAAACTCTCCTGAGTAAAACTCTCCTGAGTATTTCTGTCCTCTTGGCTCCTGCCTTTGGAGACTTTAATTGATAATGTCAAAGGGAAGAGTTTGAGATGCAAAAGTCCCTGTGCATTAGCTAAAACTATTCATTTAACTGGAAAGATAGTTTTGCATCCACATCACACAGAAAAGTCAGCAATGATCACTGGGAGAAAGAAATCTCTTAGAACGAACATTTATCATCTAACAGAGTAAAAGACATTCATTTCTGGCACGAAGAAACCTCAGTTGGAAAACCATTGCTGGTAGCCCTGGTTCAGTATCAATTATTTATCTTTTAACCTGAACATTTGAAATAGGTGGAGACAAACGGAGGAAAAGTCTTGGAAAGCAGCTGTTCATAGTTTACTGCCAAGATCCACGATCTTTAAATTTAAAGACTATCACACCTCATCAATTGCAATAGAATTTGACCTTCAGGCTTTATTCTTGGACAAATTTCCAGGAATTCTTAAATCATTAATCTTGTTTGGTAAGCAACCCCCTTGATTTCTCCAGCTAATGGGGAAAAAAACTGCTAACATTTACTAAGTCACAGAAGCTTTCACATTGAAACATGGTGTGGGAACTCTTTCCATAAAGTTGAATTTCCTCAGCAGAAATCTTCCCACTGAGACATAAATTTCATTTTAAGGCACTAACACTAAGGGGTATGAAACCAGCTAGGAATGAGTCAGATCTTTCTAGAAAGAGATGACATTTCAAAGACACAAGTCATTCATCTATCTGGCTTACTTCAACATCTAAAGAGGGGGAGAATAAAGGTTTTCATAGCTAACAGATTCAGCTCTTTTCCATTCTCCCATAAAAACTTATTTACAAGTCTCAGATTTATATTTCCTCAAGAGGCAGTACAGAAAGATGGCAAGGATTTGGAACAAACAAATAAGCAAATCTAGTTTGTAGCCTACTCTTATCATGAATTAATTCCATAATGACAGCATGGAGTGCTCAGACCGATGTTTTTAAGTATTTTAAAAATTAATAAGACCATATACCCAGTGGTAGAATCTATAACGTGCTCTTTTATATTGTTCTGAGGGGAAAAAATACAGAAAAATAATTAATTTTTCATGACCAGGTAAATGGAATTTGTTAATCACAAATAGCAAACTGGGGAGAAAAAGAAATCTAACCTGAAACCTGCTTCAGCAGGATTCTCCTACATCTTCCAATGAAATCAATTTTGTCATGAGAAAAGAACTAAATAAAAATAGGGTTCAAGTAAGTTAGTGCAGGAGACAAATGCCAGTGAGTGAGTGAGTGTGGAGGTAGGCCTGGTGGGACAGGATTATCAGAAAGAAAAAATGCTTCCTGTGAGCGCACGCACACGTGCGCATGCACACACACAACCTGTGCACTCACACTGATTTACAAAGCAGCGTGGATGTAGGGAAGGCTCAACGGTATGCGATATGAGCACAGATTTCTCATCTGCTTGCGCTTCTACACAGGAGAGGTCTGGCACACACTAAACACCCACAGGCACTACATGCATGAGAGCCAGCCTGGCTGGCGCAGACTCGGAAACAGATGCAGAGACCCCTACAGCTGCTGGTTTTACAGGAATGATTACATCTGCAGGATTACACTTCCTCTTGACATGCAGGATTTTCACCTTGCATCTCTTTCCAGAAATATCCTCTTTTCAAAAGTATTCAATCAAGTCCTGGAGGGCTTGATATTGATTCCTCAGTGGACGTGACTCACAACAGGACTGCAGGAATTAAAACTAGTGATCACATGGCCCCTTTGGGGTTGGGTTCATTAAGTGTTTCTGGATTTAAATAGTTTCTGGGGGGCGGTGGGCAGGGGGAAGCCAAGTTCTGGGTAGAGGTGAAGATGGAAATGCCTGAAAGTCCAGAAATCAATATAAAAAGAAATGAGCATACTTAAAGGGGTTTTGCACTTGAGTTTGTTGACTGACGTTTTGCTCTGACCCAAGAAACTTAAAGATAACAACATACATTTCTTCTTAGGAAGGCTCAGCTGGGAGTGGTGTGCTGGGTTATTCAAGGTGGGGCAGAGACAGAGGCCTACGGCTCAGGTATCGTTCTTAAGGTTTCTGCTTGCCTGATTTTGAAGGAAAGGGCGCTAAAGCAAAAGGATCAGCAACTGGCAGCTCCGTAGTCCTGGAGGAAAGGGATGTGATGGAAACAGAACCAGCTATGGACTGCTTGTTGGTTTGCGAAACAATTTTGTAGGCAGCGATGGGCTGGGCTTCGGGACTTGGCTCATCTTCTGGGCTATAGTGACGGGAGTATTTGGATAAAGACTGGGGACGGAATGGTTTGCCAGCCATGGGGCCTGAGACAGCTTCTTTCTGGGGCTGAAGTCCTTTGTTTCTGTCATTAGGGTGGCCCCCAGATTCCAGAGAGGATCCCCTGGGTGAGATGCTGTCAAGATGGTCTGCTGCTTGTACAGAATGGGAAGGGAGGCTGGAGTGCTGGGCAAATCCAGCCATGGAATACTGAGATCGGACAGAGGCATACGCTGCTCTGTCAAGGCCTGAGAGCAGAGTGACATCGTCTGTCTGACTGAGAAGACCGGCCTGCACAGGCACCTCCTGAGAGGTGCTCTGGGCAACTGTTAACTCCTCCATACTTTTCTTTTTGGTAAAAGGGGCTCTCAAGAACACGTCCGCCTCCTCTGGCTGGGAAGGAGCCACACCTCCCTTGGAGACAAATGGGGCTTTGGAGAAAATGTCCATTTCATCAGCTGAAACCCTCGAGCTCCTGAAGGGGGCTGTGGCAAAAACATCTGGCTCACCGACACCATCAGTGGTTGGCTGTATGAGAGCTTGAAACTGGTTCTTTCTTCCACCTTGCACTGCCTTTGCTTGCTCAGCAGAGACTTCTGGCTGAGTGAATGGAACGGCTGCTCCCAGCTTCCCCGGCGGAGGCTTGCAGCTCTCATCTTCATCTTCAGATTCCATGAGGAGAGGTCGAGACCCACTGCAGTCCAGCATGTCCCCCTCAAGGTCAGTCCCTTCCTCTTCACTGCTGTGGAATGAGCTGTTGCTTGAAGGGCCATCTCTGGCCAAGTAGTCGGATTCTAAATTGTTCTGAGTTTTCGTGTCAGTTACTCTGGAGGGGTCTGGATAGAGGGGAAGGCCTTTAACACCGGCTGATTCTTTAAAGTGCTCTACAGTTATTACAGGACAGGGATTGGGCTCTCTCTGGAGACCTAGAAAAGCACAAAATGCAGAATTAATGTACAGGTCGGTTCAATTCTCCTTGGAACATTTAATGGCCAACCCGCAGCACTAACATTGTGGGACCAAATAATAGATGTCGAAAATGGAAAAGGAAAAACAGAAATATAAAAGTCAGGCAAGGAAACTACACACAAACTGGAACACAACCAATCACCGTTTCACATTTTAGAACATGATAAGCACAATGTGCAGGGAAGGAAATGAAGATGTTAGGCACACAGACATTCAGCGTAACTACCAAGGCTCCTACTCGCGGGGCTGGGCACTGACACCTGCTTTCCCTGGCACTGGCTCATGATGGAATGAAAACAAACCCAGTCACTCATTCCACATATACCATGATGGCTCCAGAGTATGCAGAAATACTGTTTGGGGACAAATTCAATTCAGTATCTGACATGTGGCCATACTCTGAGGACACAACCCCTCCTTTGCCCCCGAAAAGCAGCAAAACATGGCCGCTTGATAAATGCAAGTGTACTTGATGATTGACATCATAAGCACTACTCAAAGAGCACGAAAGTGCGTCAAACAGGAGTACTGACGGCTCTTTCTCAGGGGAGGGAACAGAAGTAAAATCATATTAAATTCCAACTTCAGCTGGAGCTGCCCTGGAATTTTGTTTTCAGTCTTCTAAGTTAGCAAAGGTTTCCTCTGCTTAAATGAATCCATCATAAAGTTCTTTAAGCAGATGGAGTGAAATGCATGGGAAGTTACAGAAGTATTTGCAAACTCTAAAATACTAGTCTATTTCTATCTAGCTAGAAGTGCTTGAGGGTGCTCTGGCTTTTAAAATCAAATAGACAATTATCAGAATGCAAGAGAGCTTACCTTCCAAGAAATATTAGCAGGTTAGAAGTATGTCATTGGGCACATGTTAGCAAAAGGGCAGGAAAAAGGCATATGTAACTAAGCAAGAAGAATCCAGAGAAAGGGTGGTTGGGGGTAAAGGTATCATTTCATCATGGGTTTCCCAACCCACCAGGATAAGAACATTTGGTACAATGATTTGGGTCCTATAGGTGACTCGGAACCTCTGTAAAGAGGTGATTCAATCTACCCCTCCCCACATAACCCTCTTCCCTTTTACGCAATCCATTAACTCATAGAAACTCAGTAACAATATTCCCGTTAAAATTTCTGCTTAAATTAAACACACAGAACACAGCAGAGCAGCATCAAAATCATTTATTGGGAAACCAGTCACTTAGAGACATTACACTGTAAAGAGAGGTGTAGAGAGAGTCCTGAACATTTTAGAAGATGCTGTACAAAAATACTGTGCTTTTCTGAATCCTGTAACTTTTTAGCAGTGCTTCTTTTTAAATAGCTCTGACCTTAAACATTGTTTCCCGAAACAAAAAGGTGGTTTTCCCCCATTTCCATTTCCCTTTCTAACAGTTTAAACATATTTGATGAATTCCAAATTAGAGTCTTTAAGTTAAATCCTATACTAGTGCCAAATGGCTTTCTGAATAGTATTTGAAGAGTACGTTGATTGTGAAGAGGATAAATTTCTTCTTGCATTACAGCTTTAATATGTGCACTTGCATGATACGAAAGCATTAGTCAGGGGATAGGAAATAAACGAAATGCCTTCTCACCTTCTCCCTTGCAATCTATGTGAAAAGCCATAACCCTAACCCCTTAGGCAAGTATACTGACATTAGATCCATCACAGTGACTCCCAGATGATGATTTCTGGGAGCAAATTCAAATGACAGGGGGAAGAGAAGTTCTCCAAAATAAGATTTGCCAAGCAAAGCGGAATGAGAGGACCTCAAAATTCCTTAAACCGCTTTCTAATGCGGCATGAGATGGACAAAGTTTTCAGCTGCTGAAACTAAGGCATGATTTCTTAACTTCTAAAACTACCCTGAAAGTTGATGCTATTAAGGTGTTTCTATGGGAGAACAAAATATCTCTTGGGGGAAAAAAAAGAATTTAGTCAAGCCAATGACCAACTCTGGCATCATACAGATCAATAATGAAAATGAACTCTAGTGTGACTGGAGTTAGTGGTTTTAGAAAATTTAAATTGAATTCAGTGAAATCAATTTGTGTGCAGAGATTACCCAAAAGCAGCTACCTATAGAACCAGGGGCACTTTGGATGCCTGCAGTGTTAGATTATATTTCCAGAACTCCAAATATCAAGCAGGGGTGCCCGCATCCAGAGTTGGACAGGATGGAAGAACACGCCCAACTTACCAAAATACTCCTGTTAAAAAGTGGGTTCTTTGTCAAGTCAACTGGAAGCCTGCCAACTCGGAGCCTAGTCCAAGACCTTCATGGTGAGTAATGGGAAAATCATACTTAAAAGTTCCGGCAACTCTTAAAATTCACACACATATAAAAATACTGTAAGATCGGGTTTGAAGGGAAAACCTATCCTTCAAAACAAGGCCAGACCTATTTCATGTCTCTTTTAGCATGAATCTGCTTCTAGGATTGGAAAAATACATCTAAAGTTTTCTCCTGAGAAGGCCAAGTCTCCCAACCTGTCCATTCTTTTTAGAAGAGGTGCAGTGTGACCAAGGCAGAGAGCAGCCACCCCGTGTAAGTCTCAGAACCTGGTACTCTGGGGACAAAAGAATTGCTGGTGGACATGGAAAAATGCAGAAAACCATATTCCCTCAAGGAATTTTGGTGGTGAGAGCACAAGAAACAAAGTTGTCAAGAGAAGGAGAGATTCTAAATAACTGTAAACAGAAGATAGACATAAAGCTTGTTAGGAGTTAGAGGTCTTCTCTGGAACATGAGTGTGTTCTTGTAGGGAAAGCACAGGGCTTCAGGGTGAACAGTCCTTGTACATGAAGATAGTCTTATATTATCAGGAAACATGTTTGAAATAATCTGCCTACTAGCGATAAAGGATTTGTACGAAGTTGACCTCATGTCTTTGTCCAGGTCCTTTGGTAACCAATGGCATGCATGGCAGATGCCTGTGACCACAGAGCTCAATAAAGATTGACAGTTGTTCCTGGGGGGAGGGGCTTAAGCCCAGGACCTGGCCTCATAGTCGGTACAAGGGTCTTCTGTACCATGGCCTAAGATAGGGCATTTTGTTCTAATTCCACCTAACTGGGTCATGTCTCTTTTTATTTTGGTTTATCACATTAAATTAAGCAACGAGTCAAAACATTTCTTTTTCTTGCTCTGCCATAGGATTAACCACATTAAAGTTAGGCACACTTTTCAAAACTCTATTTGAATCTATTTTGAGGCTCCAAATTATATAGATTTCAGTAAGAGCTCACAAGCTTCAGAAAGCAGACAAAAGATTTCTAAAAAGTATTTGATGACTTGGCAACTATCTTTACTAACTCCCTATTAACTTTCAAAGCAATGAATAGTGTTGAATGATTTGGGAAAGGTTTACTCTGAGAATTTTATCAGAGGGACACAGCGAGGGTTATCAATATGCTTTCTGAAAAAAACAAAATCTGAAGACTTAAATTTCTGGCTGGTATTTCTTAGTACAATATGTCATACACAACCAGAATTTTACTTTTCTCTATACTATAAAACTAAATAATACTTATAGGGAATATCAAAGACACAGTTCTTGACAAAACCTAAAAACAAAGACTTGGGAGCATTGACAAACCTCCTCACATACACAGTTAAGAAGCAGAAATCAAATATCCCTTCCAAGAACTTCAGAAATGCAGCACCAATTGCAATTCACACTCTGGAGCCAAATCAGGGAGTCAAGAGATGTACGTCAAACTAATAATTTCCATGACCTTTTGGCTTAGGTGATAGAATTAAGCATTTGGTTCTACTGTATGCTGCATACCCATAAAACCCATGACTGGGGGAATAAGGGATTTGATAGGCGTCAACACTGGCTTGTGGTGCTGTGTCTCTCAAGCCAATGGAGCAATTAAATGAGAGAGATTTCTCCCTGGGCATAAAAGTGCTGTTGCCACCATAAAATGTTTTATTAAACTGGCCTGAGTATATTAAAGGTTAAGTTAGAGAAGCGTTGCAAATCCGTGCTCTATTTTACAGCCCCATGTCTGGTCATGTCAAATTCAGGCCTGCAGGGGTTTTATTCTCCCTGACCACACGGTGAAGCCAGGGCAGCCATGACTCATTAAAATGTCCTCGGCTTGTTTCTCACGCATGTCCACACTTCCCTCGTGCACAGGTACTCACTGTCACTCAACGATGTGGTTTAATCCTTTTTGTGGTTTAAAGTGGGTTTTCAGCTCAGGAAAACAACAGTTATTTTAAGTTATTTACATCTCTGAACATCAATGCTCCCATTTCAACAGATAAAAGTCTTTATTCCCCTGTATGTTTACATAAGAAATTTGTTTACAGACTTGTTTTTTTATACAATACTTGTATAGCAATGTTCAAATTTCACATTTTTACTGCATAAGATAGCTTCATGTACCTCTGTTTGCTCTATCTTCTGGGGGAGAGCAGGATAAAGACCTGTGATAAACACACAGCCACATGACCAGGGGGTGGTGCAATAGGGCAGAGTGGAATACTGGCAGGAAAAGAGTACATTCAGACACTACATCAAAGTGGGAACCAGGAAAGTGTCTTCCATTCTAGCAACTACCACCATTTGGTAACTTTGCATTACACAAAACACCTCCCTCACCCGCTTAGGTGGAAAGGACACCAAGGAGAAACAGAACAGTACCGTGTTACAGATTATTTGAAATGGAGGCCATTGGGATTCATTCTGACTCAAAAAACCCAAGCACATCCAGGAACATTACTAGCATGGACAAGGAAAAGATCAGCTCTGTATTGGCAAATGTACAGTCTCTGAAGAGGAATAAAAGATAGCTTTATAATACCTGGAGTGTTTCTACAAAGATTCCATTTCAAATATCCATGTGATAGCGTTCTCTGTTCTGCTTGGCAGCCTCTAATTTGCTCAATTCGGTATTTTGGGTAATCCTGAAACTTTTTTTAAAATGAGGCTATCCTGTCATTTTTAT